CATTGTAGCCTATACGTTGTATCTCCTATAATCCCTTTAATATTAATAAAGTTATTTAAAAAGATGGTGCTGTAATTCCTCTATGTTGAAGAATAGTTGTGATTTAGGGGTTAGGGCGAGGTGAAAATAGAATGTGTAATTAATGCACACTTGGTTGTGTTGGCCTTTACAAGGATGCCTAATTGCTGATGATATTTCTCATAATAACCCAGAAAAAGAGACCAGTAGCTGTCCGTCTAAAATCCATAATGGAAGGTCATGGTCATATAATTTAGTATAAATTACCAGTCAGCCAGGAGGAATGCTGCAGCCCTGTGTCTTACCTATTGAAGAAGAGAGAGAGTGAGAGCAGGAAGTTTAGTCCAAAGGGCCCCGCTCATTCCTGCACTGACTGAAAAGTGGTGCTGCATGAATACACACCAATAGGAAAGTTGTGTTCAGTTAACCGGTGAAATCCGAGAAAAAACAGGGCAGGGCAAGTATTTCTCACCGCCAGACTCCGGCTTAATAGTTCCCCCCTCCTTCCTCCTGTTGGACTGATAGTGCCTGCATTAACTTCGGTATACAATATGTTGTGGTTTGGATTGAAAGGGAAGGTAAACTATGACCTCTAAGCGGATCATCACGACGCAAACAACCATCCGAACAAAAAGCAGTTATTTTTTTTCCGAAGAGCTTTCACTTCTCCTCTTAGACACACTTTAAATCACTTTGACTTTAAATCTGGAAGTCAGATACAAATAAATAATCGTCTTTACGTTGTTGACGTCCATGCAAATCTTGTTTGATAGATGCACTAGCACAGATAAATGCAAAACAACTTCACGGAGCGAAAAGAGAAAAACATGCGAGTCTCCATTGTTGCCGCACTTGTCTCACATTCTCGTTTACTCTCATGTAAGTATCACACACAGAGATTACTCCTCGCTAAGTTCCTTTGTCTTGTGATCCATATTTGAGTTGACAGATCACGAACAAGAGCTCCCCCACTGTTAATGACCCCAGCCAGCAACAGATAGACTCACACTTCCAGCACTTTTTACTGCTGCCACTCTGGCCTACATATGTTTGCAGCGAGGACAACCATGGCAGTTTACATGCGTCTCATTTACATGGTTAAATATGCCCTAATAGAAAATCACTGTGATATTTAATGAATATTGACTTTTCTGTGTTTATCATATCTTAGCCTGTATACAAATAATAGTTCTTTAACACATACTTTCCTGGTGTATTTATGGCAATCGATAATACATATAGACTAAAGTAGCCTATTGAGCAACCCACTTAAAGGGCTGGGAAAGTTAAAGTGTCCACCTTTAGCTGACTATTGTTGGTTTTACTTTTTTTTTTAAACAACACATCACCTTCATTATTTTTTTTCTCAAGTAAGTTAAGTTTAGATCTGCATATTTACTTTCACAGCTTGGGGGAAATGAACGCAGCGTTGCGCAAATGAAGCCCATTCATCGCTTGTTTTGTATTCATGAGTCCCTATCCGTAGCTCCATCTCTCAGATAGAGATAATCCTCGTGTCCTCCTTTGCCGATAAAAAAATGCTCTTCAGTTTACGATTAATTTAATCTCAATCATAGCCGGGACTTGTCGCTGCCAATAAAACTTGTGGAGTGCGTAAATGGAGAGGTGGGGGTGATAAGGGTCTGCGACGGTGCCATGGCCCCTCGGTGCTCTTGATAGGGCATATCTGTCTCTGGCAGGCCGATTTAAGACCCGGAATGGGTTTAAAATATGATACAGATTTACCTCATCTGCAGCCCATTGTTAATGAGGGAGTTTGTTTCAGCAGCAGGAGCTGAGCTTTGCGTTTGTCTGCATTATGGCCTTGGTTATTTCAGGATCACAGGCCTATTCAGTGCTGTGGCTGAAGCTTTTGACACACTTGTTTTTGTGTTTTGATTGGTATCCGTGTGCGAGAGATTTATGCATGCGGATAGCTTATGCGCATCCAGTGGAGACTGATAACATGTATGGTTAAAAAACATAATCCATAGTTAGATCTACAGCAGAGTCTATTTTTATAACCATCTAAAATCAACTTTGGTCAACTAAAGTTAGATTTACAGTATAAATTAGATACAAATATACTAACAAAATATAGTTTTATGAGTTATAATGAATGTTATGGTTGTTTTTAGACACCCGTTCTCAAAGCCTGCTTTGTTAAAAACCTGTAGATTAACAAATGAAACTAATTACGCACGCTTCCGTGAGATTTGGTTTCTTGTTCCCTATTCTCAATGTTAAATACTCCCTTTTAGCCTTTATTGTGTGCGCATTTATACGCTTAATAGCTTTATAAGCTTTCAGACTTTGCACAAAATTGCCAAACATCTGGTATTAACATCCTGACCACAGTAGGCCGAGAGGACCTTTGTTACACTTTTTTGAGACTGCTACATTTCAGTTGTGTTATTAAATTGACAGGGAGAAATCCTTATTGAAAATATCTTAAGCTTTACACTACTGATTTCACCACGGTAGTTTTTTTCTCCAGTGTTCAGGTTCTAACAGTTGTGGGGGTCCCTAAACTAAACAGCAGCCTATGCCCTTTCTCTGGCTAAAATCATGAAAACACTCGATGCGTAACACAGAGTTTACTCCAGTTTTTACAGCACCGTATTTACATGCAAGATCCTCAGAGCTGCTTTTAGGAAGCATACATATATGAGCAAGTGTTTCCACCAAAACTACAGTCCCTGCAACAGTGTCCTGTAGCAAATCTGCTCTAGTCTGCAGCATAATTGGTTGGGGATTTAGATGGAAAGGGACTGCTGGAGAGAAAGCCTTTTTTTGGAGGGGGAAATGGTTCTCGTCCGAGGAAGAAAAGCTCTTTTCAGCGGGCCACAATGGGAGATTGGGACAGGGGAGGAGTCCCATCGTGATTAGCCCATTTAATGGCGCGTTTACTTAATTTCTGTATTCACTAGCAACGGTAAACAAAAGGGGAAATAGCACTCACATTTTTAAGTGCTGCATGACGTTGACGTTTGCCAGAATGTGTGTAGTATACAGAAGCAGTCATATAGGGCTTTTCTACCTACATCACATTATAAACCGGGGCAGTAAATTAGGAAAGTATGACGTATGGCAAATAAAATCTAAAACATTTTAATTACAGCATTAATTTGCGTTTTGTAAAAGACCTAAACAGTTTACACCAATATGATGAATAGTCTTAAAAACCCGAGTCAACTTCCGGAAATAAACTCTTTTTAGTTGAGTTCAGCCCGTTTGGTGCATAATTTAGTCCGGGACCGCATAAACCATGATGAGCCTTAATTCTTCCACAATCCAATAATGACCCAATATGAACATGTGTTTAGCCAATTATTAATGTCCTTATCCGTAATCGGATGGAGAGACAGACATCATGCGAAAAGGTATAGCAAATTGAATACTGTATTTGATTTAAAAATGAATGGTACATTAACATAATAACCACGCAAGAAAGAAACATTGAATAGGCTAATGTAAATAAGCGCTTTGAGCGACCCTGGGGCGGAAGAGAGGAGAGGAGGGGGCAGCCTGAATAAATGAAGTAATAACAAGTAATTCCACTTTTCATATTATTTTTTCTTTGCAGAAATATGACTGGTAACATATGTCATCATCAACCCCCCCAAAACAACAAAAACGCCTAGAGCACTTCAGTTATAAGTTTTGACAAATATTTTATGTAGGAACACCAAGTCAAGAAAAGTGAGGAAGGGATAGAAAAGAGGATGAGACGGGGAGAGCAATAATTATGTACAAGCATATTTCTACACGTATATTACAGACCGGGAAAATGATCGCATTATTTGAGATATACATAATTCAATATAAAATTTTGAAAATAAAAATAAAAATCTGATACAGTTACACACAATTCCGTTTGACATTTTTTTGACCATGTACCCCACACAGGCAGTGACAGAAGTGTATTTTAAAAAAGGTGCTTACGACTTAAAATGATTGTCTGATGAACACAAAGTAAAAACAGGATTGCATCTTGTCTGCATGGCCGTCATCATCATCATCAGCACTTGGACTAAAAACGGAGATGAGGAGAAAAATAAAAAAGCGACGAGGACAGCAAGACGATCTGTTTTTATTCCCTCTGATCGATGTTCCCGATGGAGAATCTTGCATTCAGGTTATTCTTCCCTGATTACAAAATAAAAAATAAAAAGACATCATGCAGTCTAGTGGTGGTGGTAGTGTGGGGGTATGGCGAGGAGGGGGAGGCGTGGGTCCTTTGAAAGCGCTTTTTAATAAAAAAAAAAACCGACGTGCTTTTATCTCTTTTTATTTTAATATTTATATGAATCGGTCCTTTTTTCATCCGCGATATTTCATAAGTCTTTTTTTTCTTCCTCTCAGGTCCATTTTCCCTGTAAATATTTCTCTTTTTGTTTGTTTTTGTGTGTTTTTTTTCTGCGTATCATACATCGCACTCCGAGTCGCTGGATGTGACGGACAGAATGGACGTCCCAGTATCAACTCTCTCTGCCATACTGGAAACGCTGGTGGTCGGACTGGCCGCGGTTGAGGGCGACTCTGCCGAGCTTCGAGGGGTGAGGCCGGCCTCTGACAGGGACCTCATACCGCTCGGTCCTATTGCTTGGTGTTGGAGCCTGGAGAAGAAAAGAGACAAGGAGGGGAGGGGAAAAGAAGGGGAAAAAATGAGAGAAATGGCAATTAGACCTGAGAATGTCCCCCTTACCCTCCTCCTCCTCCTGCAAAATAGGGGTTCAAACTCGCCTTTCTTTCCCCCTGCCGGCCCCAGCCATGCATGCATGGTTTTATCAAATAGGCCAGCTTTCAGGGGACAAAACACAGCACTATTTAGACTACCAAATGTTGGAAGAATTGTAATGGGTTTTTTCTTTTTCTTTTTACAGGAGTGTGCATGTTCAACGCGCGAGTCAGCAATCTGGGATTTAAAGTAGGCTACATGTCATATCACTGCAGAGAAAAATAAGCTTTAAATCCAACTTCAGCAAAACAGTTTTAAGGCATGCTTCACAACAACAGTCTAGTTGTTTTTCCTGCTTCTTCACCATTCGCTCTACATTTCTTATGTTTCCTCAATGCTGCACATTTTTATTTATATTAGAAAGCCACACAACTCTGCCGTTTTATAACCAAAGTATTATTATCTGTTGGAAAAAAATATACGCCTTGGTGTCAAAATGTCATGAGGCTTTGACACAGATGTATTTCAGTCTAATGGAACAGTATGAATGAGTGACGTGGAGATCCAGGTTACTCCAATCATCCTAAATGTTTATCTCCAATCCACTCATGATAATAACTCCATCACGGCGGGATAATATCAGGCTGGAAATATATCTATTCATTTAGCAAAAAGATTAGAATAGTGTTCATATGGCTTAGTATACTCCGAGGTATTTTCTAATCAATTATGGCATTTCAATGGAATGATACCACACTTAATGTTATGAATACAGCCTATGTCTTCAAATGCTTTTCAATACGCATGCTCATTTTAGTCAAGTAATATCCATAATATCTCTATTATCCTTTGAGATAATCCTCTTCAACAATGCTAAGTAAAATGTGATGTTAAGATAATAAACGCACCAGATAAATGCAGCCACTATACGCTGTGTTGCTTAAATATATTATTTAAAAGCTTTAGCAGCAAACTAAACAATATTTAAAAATATTTGCAAAACATGACAATTCTAAATAAATTTAAAGGTACAGAAAAATACTATTTTACGTTTGACTAAACTAATCCAGTCATGTTTATTTTATAAATTGTACTTTTTCTAATTAAAAATAATTAAAATGATTGTGTACACTAGTATCATTTAAATAGTGGCTATACTATAAATAAGGGAACTCGAGTAATGGTTATTTAAATATAATTTCAGCACTTTTTGGCATTTATTACGACACTTTCCCTCCTACGGTAAACATAAACAAGCTGTTTAGGCAAAAATAGCCTCTTCAGTTTAACACCAATCTAGTTTGTGATTATGTTATTGTTATTATTATTGTATTAGTCCGATGTATTTAAAAACTAAAACATATTTGCTTTGGTCGTTCTGAAAAATAATTTTCTTACCAAAATACCACAAAGTTAAATTCTACATCTGCCAAAAATGTTTTTCGAAGCTATTCTAAATGGAAAAAAAACTAATTGTATTTTTAAAAGACAGCTTTGGATAAAAACAACAGCATTTATTGTGTTTTCGATGTTCATCCTGATTTCACTTCATAACAAAAATGTCGCCGCAGCCTGCTCCCTCCCCCTGCAGACAGTCTCGTCATTTTGTTAGTCTGTCTGTCCGCAAATATAACTAAATCTTTCATAAAATCTCACATGTTTCTATTGAATGTATAACCTTTAAAACAACTTTAGAACATCGCTGTGTTGGACAGTTAGGATAAAAAATAACCAACCTGTTTTTGGCTGCCGCGGCTCTGTCTCGTTGCCTCCGGTTTTTAAACCAGTTTCCGACCTGTGTAGGAGTGAGTCCAGTGGCTTGCGCCAGTTCCCTTTTCTTGCTGGGGTTGGGATATGGGTCCTGAAGGTACCACTCCCTCAGCAGGCTCCGTGTCCGCTCTTTGAAACAGTGCGTCTTCTGCTCGCCGTCCCAGATGGTCCGAGGCAGCGGAAACTTCTTCCGCACCCGGTACTTATCGACCGGTCCGAGGGGGCGACCGCGGAGCTTCTCGGCCTCCTGATAGTGTGCTTCCAGCCACATGGCCTGCAGTTTGCCGTGCGAGTCCTTGGTGAACTTGTGGTTCTCCAGGATGTGGTAGAGGTCTCTGAAATTCCCCGTGTGGAACGCCACTACGGATCGGGCGCGCAGGATGGACTCGTGCTTGTTGATCGCCTCGCATGCTCCCGGAGCCACCGGCAGGGACCAGAGGAAGCGGCCCAGCCGCTCGATGTCCCCGGTCTCCTCCAGCGTCTCACAGACGCTCGCCACCTGCTCCGGGGAGAAGTTGAGGGTCGGTAGCTGAAACATGGACAAGTCTTCTGGAGACCTGGTGGTGGGAGCGCTGTTCGCCAATAGCACAGGGCGATCAGCGAAGTTTGGCAGGAAGAAATGGGAGGGATAAAGCTCTAAAGGGGATCTGAAAACCATGGAAATGACCTGAGAGAGAAAGAAAATTATCGAGAAAAAGGAAAACCGCAAAAATACGGCCAGTAAAAAAGATTGAATGATTCAATGGCTATCGCCTAATGACACCAGCCTCATAATATCTCCCCCCTAAATCCGCCGTTGAGTGTAGCATTGAAACATTTTGTTTCCCTTTTCTATTGGTCTTCTTGGTGTCGTTGTAGCGTTGTCATGGCAGCCCTGCCAATCACTGTCAAGCGTGCCAATCATTAGCCAGTACGTAGCGCGAGGCTTTCACCACTTGTGCAGCACGCACGGGGGGTTATCAGAGTCTCGGATCTCCACAGCAACCCTCCCACCGCACCGCGCGCATCAGGCACAAGCCAATGCTCGCCTA